ACATGTTAGAAAACTACACTGTTCACAATGAATTAGTTTGGTAAATATGCACAAGCGACGCAACATGGTTTATGAGGAAAAATATTCAAGTGATAGATCTACTAGAACCTTTTGCAAAGCTTTCTAAACACCAAATTTCTGTGTTGAAATGAACGAATCAAGCAGGACACGAATTGCCATGTCCACATCTACTGGAGTAAAATGTTGTCTGAGGTGTATTCTGGCATGTGCTTCAAACATCCCAATCATTGATTCGATGTGCCTCACTGCAATGGGAACTCCTTGTCCATGCTACAAATGAATAAAAATCAAGGCATACATCATGAGATGACATGTATGAAATCACCAATGGATTGAACCATTAGGAGGAAGAAGAAGAAGGAGAATCTAACCGAAGATTCTCTCCGTAGTTCGACATAAACTTGTGTGAGCTTGTTAAGGTCAGCATCATGCAAACTTGGGAATACATTTAACTTGGGAAAAGTTAAGTACTTCTTTAGCAAATCTTGAGGGAGTATCTGAGGAGATAAACATAAATCAAGACATTGAAATTCAAGCATTTTCAAAGGAACAATACCAGATAAGATAGCTCTAGTATGGACCTCAGGATCAGTTGGCATGGAAGATGTTTCAATTTCATCCTGTGAATTGCTTATGGACTTCTCATGTATGTTAACACCTTCAGGTTGAGGCTTGAAATGACTATCAACTACAAACTTTGCAAGCATCTCATCCTTGACTAGGTCCACCACATCCTGGAACAAACAATATTTCCTTCCCTATTAGACGTGTCTCATGGAGTTGTAGAATAAATTTATTGGATGAGAAAAATAACCTTAACAACACAAAGGATATCAAAACGTGAAATGATTGGATCTGTCAATTCAACATTCTGTGAGAAAGTCTTTTGAGGAATCATATCTGGAGGGAAAAAAAAAAAGAGAAAAAAGAAGAAAGAAAAGAATTTCCATTAGATCCACGAGTAAGCATTTAAAAAAGAAAAAAGAAAAGACAACAAAACCGAAGGCAGAAAATATAACAAGTGGCAACATTGCAAGGTTGGCAGAACAGGATCCTATGTCTAATCAAGCAAATCTTTCATAAAGTACAGAGAAATGGGATCAATTTATGAATGGCAGGAATGAAATTGGGCAGAGATATAGCTGTCATCTAATCTCTCTCTCTCCCACTCCCTCTCTCTCTCCCTCTCTCTCCATGCAATGGGTTAGCATTTCCTAGCATGATCTTCATTAAACAAGCCTAAATACTAAGCCACAAAGGATATTGCCAACCTTATAATAACTCTTGCCTCATCAAATTAAATTTATTATCTTGCGTATTTTTCATACCTTCCACCAAACAGGAATTGCAGCAGTAATAACAGAGCACCGAGCTTGGAGAAAAGTGACAATCCCAGCCTTTGATAGGCTAATACTCTGCTGCTCCATTGCTTCATGGATACTTACCCTGATCAAAAGTTAACATTTCCAAAATCAACTAAAAATGTTTTAGAAGACTAAATACATAGGCACTAGCATATGCATTTACTTACCTGTCCAGTTCATTCATCTTGTCAAACACATCAATAAGGCATATCCCTTTATCGGCAAGTACAAGGGCCCCTCCTTCAAGTGTCCACTCTCGTGTGACTAGGTCCTTGGGTACTGTCGCTGTCAGCCCTACAGCAGAAACTCCTTTCCCAATTGTATAAACAACCCTATGGCTAGTCTTTTCAACATACATTAGAAGAAAATATCAAACAAATGAAAACCTGAGAAGTGAACACCATTAAAGAATTAAGACACTTCAGATATGAACCGGGGTATCTCTTACTTGAGAAACTGAGATTTTGTTGTCCCTGGGTCACCTAGCACGAGCACATTTATGTCCCCTCGCAACCAATGTTTCCCTTCAACATTTTTCTCTTGACCTCCAAACATTGCAAGAGCTATTGCAATTTTTATGTCGTCGTGGCCATAGATTGATGGAGCAATTGACTTGATAATCTGAGATATAGTTACAAAAACTATTTACTAAAAAATTATATCTGAAGTTTTATAGATCTAATAATTTAGAAAAAATTACTCAAAATAAATATCATTGCAATACAACAATGACATGGTCTCAGAAGATATTCACTAAGATACATTTTTTTCAATATTTGGATCCTAGGCTAACTTCTCAATTTCTTCCTTGTCCTCCTCTGTAAGCTTGTAAGCTGAAAATAGGTCTTGCTTCTTCGTGACGTAGTTTGCCTCGACTACTGTGGAAAGTACCAGAAATCCATTCTTTCTGTTTAATGACAAGTCAAAATTGTTTGTGTAAATTCCAGTGACCTCTTGAAACTAATAGACGGAGTAAGGGACCAAATCAAGAAGAAAAAAAATCACAGATCCAAAGAAATTGGAGAAACAATCAATATTACTCTACATATCAAATGAAGGCATTTTTAGTCAAATTTGAGTAACAAAAGCATTACAAGAAAAATGCAAAATGAAGATTAATTAAAAATCTGCATCTATGGGATGTGTTCTACTCTTAAATGGAACACATTATAATTAAAAATCTGCATCTATGAAAAAATCTGAATCTATTGACGAAAATAATTTTCGTTACCTATTATTTTTATTTCTTTATTATATGTGACAAAATTTATAATTCCTCATGGATTATTCTTATTTAGTGATGAAATTTGTTTTCTTCACTAATTTTCATCACCATATATATATTCACAATAAAAAGATTTACAAGAGAAATTTAGGAGGGGGGAAAAAAAAAAAGCGCAACACACCAACCAATACACTAACAAACCATTCCCCCAAATCACATAACAGACACTAAAGATAATAACATCAACAGAGCACATATCTAACAGAGTTGTTAATCTTCATAATTGATATCCAGCAACAACAAAAACTAATAGTCATAAAGCACCTAAACAGATAGATATCCAGAGAGCAAGAAAGATTCAAACTTGCTTGTGATAGATATAGACATAAGTAAGGCCACATTTTTACCATAGTAGTGACAAGTGAAAGTTCCAGCACCCACACATGATAAAATTTGTCTTCTTCTTCAAAGAACAGAATGAAACCAAAACAAAATTCAACTCTCTCTCTCGATTCTCTTCCTCAAATCTTCATCATTTTCTTTCATTTTCGTTTCATTGTACTCACAAGGTCAATGTCTTTCACTTTCTTTACTCAAATAAAGTAAACCCAAATATATTTACGAAATTTCTGTTCAAATAAAATAGCAAATTTTTTTATTCCAAAATTTTTTTTCCCCAAATATTTGTTCAATATGGGGAAATGAAGCACAAATCACCAGGATTAAATCCCTATTTATATATCTAATCCCTGAGTAGAACATTAATGGCTAACAATTAACTACCAACAAAAATAGATTATTGCTTGAATTCCTAGGCTTTTTTCTCTTCCTTCCATTCCATCCAACACCTGCCTATCAATTCAGACACCACCCCTCGCCATTAACACAAGCTCAAAACTGATTCTCCCATTTGCTAATACCTATGAAGCACGGATACTCTAAAATAGGCCACGTATGCGTATCGGATACGGATACGCGCCCGATACGCGAGGATACGTATCGGATACGGGAAATAGAGTATCCGATTTTTTTTTTTAATTTTTGAATTTCGGATACGTTTCACTACGCACGCAGCGGTTTCAAACAACCTATCGGGTAAGCAACCTGTCCTAGTTTGGAATGGTCACTATGGATTCCGAATATGCATTAGGTCGAATGGTCGAAAAGGGTGCCCTGGTATAACCGGGGTTTGTGTTCCCATACTGTCAGAGCCCACAACCGGTCAGCCTTATGGCATGCTTTGACAAAGTCAAGCCTCCGGCAAACCGTTCAGGAATGGCAGATGGCAAACACGGTGTCTTAGGCTCACCAATGCACATGCAATGCAAAGAGACACATAAATGAAATCAAAACAGGATATCATGAGTTCGAGTCAAGCCCTCTAAAGTCCCCAACAGAGTCGCCAGAAACTGTAGATGTCCCCGAACGCCCCGGGAGGGTGAGGTCCCATTCCGTTCATTTTGCCGGTCTACTACAATTCGAACTCAAATTGTCACGGTTCTTAATCTGAACCAAAGAGTCCAAATGTGGCAAACCGTTTTGAGAAAACAAAGTTTTAGAAAAAGAAGTGCCAAACATGGACTGCTTTGTCAGATACAGAGTCGCCACCTAAATATTTTATTTTGGGGAATTTAGGAATCCCTGACTCGGTGCCAAAGGCCACGTGTCCGTCATCACCAAAGTTACCTCAGCTCGGGAACTTGGGTACGATTGAGGAGGGTCAGCTATGAGCACCCCCTCTCGCCCGATCAAAGATAGGCCTCTACTAACCGTGATATCTTGTTTTGAAAGCATTATGTGTTCTTATTCCAGTTATTAGCCTAGAATTACTATGTTATGCGCACAACAAACAAGTATAGACCAAATCGCCTAAATTGGAACAAAAAATTTCATGTTTGTTTTGAAAATGGTTTGCTACTCGCAAGTAGGCTAAAATACATCCAAACATTGTAAGAGCTATTGCAATTTTTATGTCATCGTGGCCATAGATTGATGGAGCAATTGACTTGATAATATGAGATATAGTTACAAAAACTACTTACTAAAAAATTATATCTGAAGTTTTATAGATCTAATAACTTAGAAAAAATTACACAAAATAGATATCATTGCAATACAACAATGACATGGTCTCAGAAGATATTCACTAAGATACATTTTTTTCAATATTTGGATCCTAGGCTAACTTCTCAATTTCTTCCTTGTCCTCCTCTGTAAGCTTGTAAGCTCAAAATAGGTCTTGCTTCTTCGTGACGTAGTTTGCCTCGACTACTGTGGAAAATACCAAAAATCCATTCTTTGTGTTGTTCGTGTAAATTCCAATGACCTCCTGAAAATAATAGACTGAGTAAAGGACCAAATCAGGGAGAAAAAAATCACAGATCCAAAGAAATTGGAGAAACAATCAATATTACTCTACATATCAAATGAAGGCATTTTTAGTCAAATTTGAGTAACAAAAGCATTACAAGAAAAATGCAAAATGAAGATTAATTAAAAATCTGCATCTATGGGATGTGTTCTACTCTTAAATGGAACACATTATAATTAAAAATCTGCATCTATGAAAAAATCTGAATCTATTGACGAAAATAATTTTCGTTACCTATTATTTTTATTTCTTTATTATATGTGACAAAATTTATAATTCCTCATGGATTATTCTTATTTAGTGATGAAATTTGTTTTCTTCACTAATTTTCATCACCATATATATATTCACAATAAAAAGATTTACAAGAGAAATTTAGGAGGGGGGAAAAAAAAAAAGCGCAACACACCAACCAATACACTAACAAACCATTCCCCCAAATCACATAACAGACACTAAAGATAATAACATCAACAGAGCACATATCTAACAGAGTTGTTAATCTTCATAATTGATATCCAGCAACAACAAAAACTAATAGTCATAAAGCACCTAAACAGATAGATATCCAGAGAGCAAGAAAGATTCAAACTTGCTTGTGATAGATATAGACATAAGTAAGGCCACATTTTTACCATAGTAGTGACAAGTGAAAGTTCCAGCACCCACACATGATAAAATTTGTCTTCTTCTTCAAAGAACAGAATGAAACCAAAACAAAATTCAACTCTCTCTCTCGATTCTCTTCCTCAAATCTTCATCATTTTCTTTCATTTTCGTTTCATTGTACTCACAAGGTCAATGTCTTTCACTTTCTTTACTCAAATAAAGTAAACCCAAATATATTTACGAAATTTCTGTTCAAATAAAATAGCAAATTTTTTTATTCCAAAATTTTTTTTCCCCAAATATTTGTTCAATATGGGGAAATGAAGCACAAATCACCAGGATTAAATCCCTATTTATATATCTAATCCCTGAGTAGAACATTAATGGCTAACAATTAACTACCAACAAAAATAGATTATTGCTTGAATTCCTAGGCTTTTTTCTCTTCCTTCCATTCCATCCAACACCTGCCTATCAATTCAGACACCACCCCTCGCCATTAACACAAGCTCAAAACTGATTCTCCCATTTGATAATACTACCATCCAATAAATAAATTAGACAAAATCTCTAAAACATCACCAGTCCCCATTCACACACACACACACACAATAAATAAATAAATAAGATCCAACAGAAAATCTATATTTTACAAGCAATAGTGGTCGATTTCAGCTCAAATTAAACTCTTTGTTTTAACTAGATTCATGGCTTTTATTCCTTTCTTCGAGTTGTATTTCTCAAGTCTATATTGAAGGACAAAACCACCACCACCACCGACTCCTACATCGAGCCTCTCAGTTTGTTGAGTAAATCAAATGGCAACAATCGTGGGCAATTGAGATTAGCATTGGTAACACATCATGAGCCATGAACCAAAGAAAGATTGTTGACTCAAAACTCAAAGGAAGTTTTCTGTTTAAAATCAAAGAAAGTTTTGATGCTTTCATAATACAAGCCAAAACAAAGCTAATAAACAAATAGAATGGTAAATGGAGATGATGAGGTAGCAAATTAGGTTAGTTAGCCTAAGTGCCTATTAGTTAGTTTAGGTGTCAAATTTTTGTTTGCAATTAGTCTTGGTTTAATGCTCTGTTTTATCGTGTTTTTGGTGACATAGACATTCATATGAAAAGAGTCCAAATACAACTAAGAAAGTAGAGTTGTAATCTGTAAAAAAAAAATATTGGAGCCCAAATCATCAAGTTCCTATCATTCATTTTAGTTGTGAGAGTGCTTTTGAAGGGTATCTTCTTCCTTAACCAAGGATTGTAATATTTCAACTTCTAAAAAAACATGAAAAAAAACTCCTCATAGAACAAAACTATGATCACTCAAGCTGTTATTGAGTTTAATTTGTTCATCAATAATCGGGATAAGGGCAATTTAGGTGTTGAGGACAGTCAAAATTTACTTGAAAAAAGTTTGGCAACTACTGTTGAGGAAGCACAGGAAGAAAAATTTGTAAAGGAAATCACCAAAAGTGATGGAGAAGTAAAAAAGGAAGAATCGGAATCCAATTCAGATGGGAAATCAAACTCAGGTGGTGACCGCCCAAATTTAGCAGATGGAGACTCCAATCCAGAACGTGGTGAGACTAGAACAGAAGGTGGTGAAACGAATGACATTGAGCGTTCAGAATCAGAGGAAAGCCCAAGTGAAAATCAACTGAATTTGGAGAAGGGTAAGAAACCAGATAATGAGAAAAATGTAGAGGAAACAAAGCATGAAGATAAAGTTGATGTTCAGACTGAGGAGAAGATTGAAGAGAATCAAGGTAAGGATTCAGACGTAAGGACTGGTGAAAACAAGATGGAAGATCAGGCACAAGACCAGTCTGAGATTTTGAATGAGACTAACATCCAAAATGGGCCTTGGTCAACTTAAGTGGCAGAGTCTGAGAATGAGAAGGAATTGCAAAAAAATGTCTTGTCAAAAGATCAAAATGAGTGTAAGTGGAAAATTTGTAATATCGCTGCTGGACCAGACTATATTCCCTACCTGGACAATATACAAGCTATCAGAAAACTTCCAAGTACAATGCACTATGAACATCGAGAGAGGCATTGCCCAGATGAAGCTCCAACTTGCCTTGTTGCTCTACCAGAAGGATACAAACGACCAATTAAGTGGCCTAAAAGCAGGGAACAGGTAGATATTATTTATGCTTATTATACAGAAAAATTATTGCAATTGAAGTTTTAGTTTGGGTTAAATGGGATCTTCTGGTGCATTCTACAGATATGGTACTACAATGTTCCACACACAAAGCTTGCAGAAATTAAGGGGCATCAAAATTGGGTTAAGGTTACTGGAGATTACCTTACTTTCCCTGGTGGTGGGACTCAATTTAAGAAAGGCGCCCTTCATTACATTGATTTCATCCAAGAAGTTAGTCCTTGTCATTGTTAAGTTTGCCATGCTGCCTTGTTTTGTAGGTATAATGTCTAATTGTTGACTTTGTCGTACAGCTTTTTCTGTTTGTACACATGCTTTTGTGCATCATTTGAAAATTAGGGAAAGTAAACTCATTCATTTTTTTTATTGTTATAGGCAGTGCTACAATTACAAGCTGTTGTATGTGCAAATTTTTGGGGATAATATGAGGTGCATTATAAAAATATTGCATGAGTTACAGTGTAACTTGTCACAACTACTTAAGATGCTCCTACAATTGTAAGACCTACTGTTATATGTGTATGTGCGCGCTATATGTACTGACGTGCACAATATTTTGACCAAGGTTAATAGTTCACAGTGATTGTGATCCTAACACAAACCTTCTGTTTCCTCTGGGTTTCTGATCTGTGATTGACAACATGAAGCTTTGAGTAGACATAGATGGGGGTACATCCATCTATGGAATATATTTAATTTTATTTCTATAAATCTCTTATCTCTAAGTCTGTGTATTATGTATGAATACTTGTTATATCCTGTATTTCTTCACGTATTAATTTGCTTCTCTGAGTGTATAATTTGGGATGATATTGATCTTTGATGGTGGCAGTGGACAATATTGTGGCTTGATGGCGCGTGTGAGTGATGAAGATAGAAATGTTATTGGAAGACGGATGCACAGGAGAGTAACCTAGCATACTCCCCCCCTCCCTCCCAAAAAAAAAAATACGAAATGGGATCGTTTCAAAGCACAGCAGAGGCACAGCAGTGAGAGATCACAGTAGTGACTCCAGATTCAAAAATGTGTTGTGTGAATCGATCATTCTTGCTTCTCAGAAATTTTAGTGTCCTTTTAAGGACTGTTTGGTTGTGTTGGTTGATGATTGTGGTGAGGTTGTGACTGTCTGAGTGCCCTAATTGTGACTCAATTAAATCGATGCAATACAAGAAAACAAATAGAGATAATAGTACCTGGGTTTGATGCAGAGAGTGGAGCCCTGTTTATACAAGAAGGGTGTCGGCGTTGAAGGTGGAGTAACGAGGGCAAAGAGCAATGGAGAGGTATTACGTGCGTCTGGTTTGATAGAGAGAGAGAGAGAGAGAGAGAGAGAGATGATTAACAGAAAAGAGGCAAACCAAAAATTAAAACCGTACTCTGAGAGAGAGATGATAAACAAAAAAAGGGTTAAAAAAAAAATTAATACCCTATATTTTTTTTCGTTGCCACTTAATACATCAAAATTTTCCAATCAAAATTAGTGACAAGGTTATTTTCTCACCAAAAGATCTTAAAAATATTAAAAATTATTGGTGACGAAAATATATTCCTCATAAATAATTTTATAATTAGTGACAAAATTTTTTCTCACCAAAAGTTCCATAATTTTGGCGCCACCTAAAAAAATTAGTGGGAAAATTTTTAGTGACAAAACTTGCTTTTTCCTCACCTAAAAGTAAGTATTTATTGATAAAAATAAATTTTGTCACCTATTACTTTTATTTTTTTATTATTTGTGACAAAATTTATAAATTCCTCACAAATCAATCTTATTTAGTGACAAAATTTATTTTCTTCACTAGTTTTCGTCACCATAGGTTACTTTTGTTGTAGTGTTATTTTTTGCAACAACATCAATAAGAGGAGTACTGGCTCCCAATAAACTTAATTGGTGACAAATAACCTTATATAAAGATTTTTTAAAAGTTTTTAATACTTCAACAAAATTATTTTCTTATACATATATTCCTACTTCACCATTTGTTTTACATATACTAGTAGAAATAATTAAAGTTTTTGTAAAATATATGGGTAATGAATATTATATAACAATTATTACTTTAATGAAAGTAAAATTTGATAAATATTTTGATCATTTGTCTCATTTTTTAGGTTTAGCCATAATAATTTATCCTAAGTATAAATAAATTGGTTTACAAGAATTTTTAAAATGTATTTTGGTTGATCAAACACAGTTTGCCCCTATTATGCAAACATGCAACAGAATATTTGAAGAATACAAGACAACTACATCTGTAAATACACCTACACACACTACACTAGCAGTCTCATCTTGACACGGGAAATTAAGTATTTTTTCAACAATAAAAAGTAGAAGAATATCTCAATATACAAGCATAAATAGTTTTGAACTACAACGTTATTTGGAAAAGCCCATCAGTGGATGATTTCGATGATTTTGACATTTTGGAATGATAGAAACAAAATGAAACTATGTGGCATGTGATTTCATAAATGGCCCGTGATATACTAACCGTTTTCTATTTCTACAGTTGCTTCGGAAATAACTTTTAATGCAGGTAAGCGGGTGCAAAGCGATTATCGTGACAAGCTTTCACCCCAAATGGTTGAGACACTGATGATATCCATAGATCATATGCATGCACTTACAAGAAGACAAAATTATAGTGAAAATGAGCGAATTCCAAATGATTTGGATGACATATCCTCGAGCAATGTGACTGAAATGTCTGTCTCCTCCGATAATTAATCAACTCTTTACTTTTTACTATTTCATTTCTTTTCTTTTTTTAGTATTAGATTATTGAAAGTATAATGCAAATGATTGGTAGGCTAGTAGGTGTCAATCTAATTGGGATGTATTTGACCTATAATGATGCAATTACTCGACCATCATCAATAATCTACACCTATTTTATTTAATAATATAAATTTTTGTAATATTTTATTTGATTTTGAAATAAAAATTATTCATTCAATAAATGTTATATAATTAATTTAATATTATAATATTGAAAGTTTCATTTTTATATATATAAAATTATTCATTTCAAAAGAAAAAAATTTCATAATTACGTACTTTTTTAGTTATAAGTTCATAATTAAAAAAACAAAAGCTATACATAATTAAATTAAAATACCACCATGAAACATAACCAAACAAAAATCTCATTAATCTTAACTAAAATACTCTTGTATAATTTTCTTTTATTTTTTATTCCTAATAAATAATCTACATAGATAATATATTTATCGTTCATTTTTCTATACAAAAAAAAAAATGTGCCCGCCTAGGCCTGGCTCGCAGCCCAAGCACAAGCCTTAGGCCCGGTTCTGAGTGGGTTTGGAATTGGGCTTAGGCCCCACTTTTCGGCTAATGGCCCGGCCGGCTAAAAAGCGGGAGCCCGCGAGGCCCACTTGGACCGGTCCGAGCCTGGGCTCGAATGAACTTAGTCGGACCATTATTACATCCCTAGCAATAGGCTTGCGAACACAAGAGAATGTATGTCAAATTGTATTTTTATTAATATATCAAATTGTATTTTTTGTTATTTTATTTTATATTTTGTTTATGTTTAGTGTCTGTACGAATTTATCAATTGTTTGACATGTGAAACTTTCTAACAAAACACAACATTTTTTAATGTTTTGCTGATATGTTTCTTTTCACTTTCTTGTTGTGCATATAAATAGCTTTGATTTTCCTTTTCGAGCTAAGAGAGGTTATTGTGGAAAGGGAATTATAAGCTAGTTATGAAAAAATGTGTGAAAATAAAGAGCGAATGTGACCTCAATAAATTAATAAATTAATAAATTGACTTATAAATTTGTTCTTAAAATAAAATTAAGCATGAAGTTCATGTGTCAAGCATGAAACCAACATACATCCTGGCCACGGTCGAAATCTTCATGACATTCTTAGGCCTCGTTTGGCAAGAGGCTATTTTAGTCAATTAGTCAAAAAGTTACTAAATTAGTCAAAAAGCCAACAGCTCATACCAAAAAGTCAAAAATTCTCTTTTCTCTCTACTTTTTGCACATCTTTTCATAATTAGCCAAAAAGTCATCCCAAACATACAAGTTTTTTTTACCTACCTTTTTAGCCAAATAATCAAAAAGTTACTAAATTAGCCTTTTCCTAAACGAGGCCTTAGTTTCCTTCTCTCGTTTCAAAATCTCTCAATATTAACGCATTTGATATTAGTCTTGTTTGGAAAGTGTGATTTGAGATAAAATAATTAATAAAGATAAAATAAATTAAAATAATTAATAAAATAAAATATTACATCTAAATTATAATTATTTTATTTTTTTCTTTTATAATCATCAAATCAAATATACAAAATAAAAATCAATTATCATCTCAAACATAATTTTTTTAATGAGATTAAAATAACAAAAAAGTTAAAGCCAACTAAAATAATTCTTTCCTAAACAAAAGGTTGTTGAGGACGACGACAAAAATTTATCGTTTGTTGTACGGAGTGGGGGTTTTGATTTCTTTTTTTTTTTTTTTTTTTTTGGGCTTTTTTCTTTTTTTTGAAAAGTTACTAAAAAAATATTTTTTTTATAAGTGAAAGTTTAACATTTGACTTTAGTAATTTTTTTACTATTTTCTAGTTAAGAACTAATTTATTTTTTGTAAGATTTTTAAATATTTGGGAATAGAATATTTTAGTACTTTTTGATTTTTTTAACTAAAATATAAAAGTGAAAAAAAATTAGTATATTTAGGATTTTTTTGTTTTTTTATGAAAATTATAGAAGAAAGATAATTTTTTGACTTTTTTATATATTTTTTTGGCATTTTAATTTTTTTAATCACTTGTTTTTAATTTTTTTTTTTTTTTGATGACTTTTGAAGTTCCCAAAGTTATCTGAAGTTGTGCTTAGTTTAAAGGTGTGAAAAGGAAATTATTAAAAGAAGAGGAAAAGGACGGTCAAATATGAATAAAATATATATTTATATTTTATTTAATTTCAATTTTTTTTTTATTTTTCTTTTTCAAAATTTTTTTAAAATTTATAAACCAAACACAGTCAAAAAAAAAAAAAAAAGAATTGTGGAATAGAAAAGTACATAATATATTATTTCAGGACACATAAGCTAAACACAAAATTAAACAGAAAAAATATATAATTGGACATAATTTTTACCAGATTTTTTAGTGGAGTCAACCTCTAAATTTTTTTATCCTTCACTGTATTTATTTATTTATATCCACTTACTTTTTGTTTTTCCAAACTTATTAAAAATTAATAGTTAGGTCACAGTCATTTTAGTTGTAGCTTTCCATCGTAAGAAATATCTCAAGGAAAGACAATTCATAAATCAAGTTGGCGCAATAGTATCCACAACAGAAAGAGGCAGACAAGGTCAATTATTTGACGATAATAAGAACAATAGGGTTTTTTTTTTGGGACAAAAGTATTACTAAAAAAATCTATAAAACCTTCTTAAATTTAAGAAAATTCCTCATTTAACTTCCTTACAATAGAATTAAATAATGGTATAAATCATTAAAATAGATAGTATATATATATTTTTTGATGACCGGTTGTTTGAACCAGTTTACTCGTACCTCGACTAATCTCCGGACTCACGTAAAGCGCTCCCTTAACGTGAATCGGACAAATCTCAGGCAAAACCTGCTAGCGTGGCCCAAAGAGCGGAATGGGAGTTGAACTTGAGAGGTAGAAGGAGTACACTCTAAGCCTCAAGTTGCCTACACGAAGCCAACTCCTTCGGGTTAAATAGATAGTATATAAATGAAAATTACATGAGAACATATAGCCCCGACCCCGATAATTCCCCGGCTAAAATTAAATAACAACAACAACAACAACATAAACATCATCCAACAACAGATCTAACACATCAAATGTATATATAATTCATCAAATGTATATCAGATATAAAAAATTCATCAAATGTAAAAAATATATAATTCATCAAATGTAATTCATCAAATATAAAAAATAAAAATAAAAAACAAACAATCTAACACATCTTTCATCAGATCTGAGCATGTTGAATCTAACACAACTTGTGTGAGGCAGATCCGAGGGAGGAGGCGACAGAAGCGACGGAATGATGGAGATCGGTGTGAGACAGAAGCGACGGAAGGGAGGAGGTAGTGATGGAGATCGGTGTGAGACAGTGAGATCGGAGGGAGGGAGATCGGCAGCGATGGAGATCGGCGTGAGGCAGCGCAGCGATGGAGATCGGAGGGAGAAGAGGGAGGCTGTGGCTGAAGAAGGACGATCGGCGCCGTGATGGTTGCTGTGACTGGGTCGCGACAGTGGTGAGAGTAAGAGAGAGAGTAGAGTGAAGAGAGAGAAAGAGAGAGAGAGAGACGGAAGACAGAACTGGAGATGAGGGTTTGGTTTGGTTACTATGTGTGTGTGTATGTATATATATCGAGGGGTAAATTAGTAAATTCATTTCGGGAAAAAATCGGGCCGGGGAACGGGGACGGAGCCAGGCCGGGTACGGGGCTGGGACACTTATCCCCGTCCCCGGCCCGAATTTGTTCGGAGATTGATTTTTAAATACCATCCCCGTCCCGTCGGGGGTATTTTTCGGGGAAAACCCACACAATTCGGGATCGGGGGGTCGGGTCCCCATCGGGCCGGTTTCAAATTGCCATCCCTAACTCTAAGCCTCAAGTTGCCTTCACGAAGCCAACTCCTTCGGGTTAAATAGCTAGTATATAAATGAAAATTACATGAGAACATATAGTAAATAATCTATTTAAAATAAATAATCCTAGGTGAAAATTAATTTTCTAAAAATTAAAAAAAAAAATCAACATGACAAATTTTTGTCTTAAGATCATAAAAAAAGTATTTAAAAAGGTAAATTTATATATAAAAAAATTGAAAATATTTTTTTCTTTGTTTTAAGGATGTCTTTTAAATTTTTATCTACTCAATGTTGGCATAATGTTATGGTAAAAACAAAAACGTAATGTTACTTTTTTCAATTTTTCCCAAAAAATAATAATAATATTTAGAATTATGAAAATTTATTTTTAAGCTCCCTATGCATGGTGTAATATAAATATATATAAATTAATTAATTTTGGATAATATGTGGTTCTTCTCACTTTATTCCTTCAAATTTTAATTTTATCAATTTGAATTTTAAAATTTACAATTTGTGCCAATTTAGTCCAATTCCAAACAGACTATCTAAAATAATTAACAAAATAATAATAAAATGCACACATGGTCCCTAAAGTATGTGTTTCATCTCACTTTGGTCTTTAAAGTTTTTAATTTTGTCAATTCGGTCGTGAAATATTGATGAAGAAAATGAAACATAATTTTATAACGGAATTGACAAAATTATTACTTTAGGGACTAAAATAACACAAAACATATACTTTAGGTACCATAGTTGAAATTTATAATTATTCCCTTAATGATTTAAACAATCGTTCGGAATTGGATCAATTTGACTCAAATTGACAATTTTAAATACTAAAATTAAAAAATTAAAATTTAAGAGACTAAAATAAGAAAGAACACATATTTTAAAAATCTGTCATTTATCAATTAATATTCATTTAGAATTATGAAATTGTCTATATAAGCTCCCTTTATGGTGTGTATATATATATATATAACTTTCAAAATATTTCCAAGGCAAAACTATTTTTTTTTTTATTGTGGATGTATACCACCAAATAATTTTAGGCAAATCACCACGGTAATTCTTATATTTTGGTCCTTATGTTATTTTAACTTATATAATTTTAATTGGCTCAATTTTAACTCTTAATTTATGACTTTATCTTAATTTAGTCCAATTAATTGCTAACGATATAATTAATTGGATCAATTTGACACAGCATCTAAAATTAAAAGTCAAAATTAAATCAATTAAAAATATAAAGATCAAAATAACACAATGAATAAAATATAAGTATCAACAATTTTTATTGACAGTCAACTGGATAAAGGGATTTTAATGTACCAATCTAACAAGGAACCCTGCTAAATACCCCCAGTGGGGGTCGCACCCCCAGTGAGGTGGCGTGCCCCTACTGGCTGACAACCAAAAAACAAAAAAATAATTTTTTTCGTCCAATCACGGGTCTCCACCTCACTGGGGTCGACCCCAGTGGGGATATAAAGTATTTTTGATCTAACAAGTGAACGTACTTATGATACAAGAGCACATGAATTAAGAAAATATCAAAAACCGAAAAGTATAAAAAAATAATAGGATATATTACAAGTACATCTTCTGGGATGTATTTAAAATATACATTGTCCCCTATAGTTCAAAAAATTATAATTATTCTTTTGTTAAAAATTTTATTTAAGAAAATTAGTTGAAAAAATAAAATTCATAACTGTTCTTCTATACAATAATACAATTACTTGAATTATTAATTGAAATAAATTTTGGCCATCATTAAAAACTATTAATTAACTTAATGATTTATTAATAAAATAGACTATTTGTTATGAAATTAGAAACTTCTTAGGACAGAATGTAATTTTCAGAATCATAAGAAATAATTCGTATTTTAAACAAATCTCAAAGAGTGTATTTATAATTTATCCGAAATATAATATTGGGCAATGTGATAAAATCTAAACATCAATCTCAACAAAGAAAGAAATATTTCACTGATGTGATAAAATCTAAACATCAATCTCAACAAAGAAAGAAATATTTCACTGATAGGAATTGGGAGGAAATGATTTCGTTGCCAAAAAATATGTATCGGAATAATCTATGAAGAAGAAGAGCCAAATGTTGGCTCATCTCAAGTCAAAATCCTGGTTCTATCTCTTAGCACTATTATAAATGATCAATTACAAGACGCAATTTCTCAACCTATAGACTTGAAATACTTTTGCCGAATCCACATACACAGTTCCAAGCGTTTGAAACCCCAAGTATGAACACCTTGACACTCGAATGGTGCATTTGGAATCCACCAAAGACTTTGAACAACTATTGATCAGAAGATGAGAAGTTTTGTAGAGTTGAAATCTTTAACATAAGAGTACAATTGATGTTGTCAGTATCATCCAAGAATGGTTCGGTCTTCACTCTAGACCCTTATTTATAAAATTGGGGTGTCCCAAAATGTTTTGAAGACCTTGAGGACCTTTCCCCTACTTTTGCTACTGTGAAATTTCCTTGCAAACTGCAAAGTTCATGTAAACGAAAGTTAGCACAAAAGGAAGAAAAAAATTTACATGAAATTTATACTTCTAGAAGTATACGTATTCTTTTGTTATAATGATACGTGCATAAAAAGTGCAAAAATGATACAGGCGCTGCTTTTTTTTTGTACCCCCACAATCCCCATGACACATATCAGTCAAACAAAACAAAACAAAACAAAAAGTTGGCCAATCACAATGCATTGGGAGTGATGGGGGTTCCCAAAAGAGGAGTCCCAACCTTTTTCCTAAAAAGTGCATACAAAGAAAATTGTATAAAAATATCAATGAAGCCCAAATGGATGAATCAAACCAATGTGACAATCAATCTGAATCATGCATTGATTTTTTTATGATTTTTTGTAGGTAACATTATTTTTCTTTTTATGGTGTTATATCTTTATTTATACTTTTTTTGACATAATATTATTGAATTTCTTAGTAATACATATACGTAATAATATCATCACCACATCCCATTTGGTTGATGCCCAAAACTTCACAAGGGAGTTCATTCATCTTGTAGAAATTATTAGATGAGTCCAAAATATCACGTGGTTGTATATTTGACTAATGGTATCATGAATTGTCCATATTATTCTATGTTTTTAGGCCATGTAAATATTTAGTCCTTTGCTATAGCACGAGTAGTACACTGCTAACATGGTATTATGAAAAGTCTAAAAATACCTGGCACACCTCCACTTGAGTTTTTTTACAAAACTAACATGATAGCCCTAAAAATGTTTTATAATTGAGGGTGCATATAATACTTATTTTATGGATTGGCTCCCTTTTCGTTCATATTGTGGATTGGAGAATATTGTTCAAACACATGATGTCCACTACAAGTTTTGTTTCGATAATTTAAATTATTCATTTTGTAAGGCTCATTTCTATATATCATCTACACATAAAAAAATTAAAAAATAATCGTAATCTATTCAATTTATAACATTTGTTTCTAAAAAACAAAGGATAAATATATTTTTAAAAATATACCATCTATTTTTTTTTTAACAAACATGACAAATTGAATAGGTTATAAATATCAAATCGACTTAATTTTTTATATAAATGATATATACACAAAGACCCTACAAAATAAACTATTCAGATAATCGAAATAGGATGGACCCCACTAACTTAGACAGCACCCTTTAGTCTATACCATGAATTAGAGGGGAGCCCATCCCACATTTTATTTATGGATTAATTACTCACAGGTCTGCTTACAAGGACTTGTGTACCATTAAATCTCACAAGTATTTGTATTTTTAAAAATTAATAATTAATAACTTTTTTCTAAATTTATCGCTAAAAGTTAACAATTAACTCTTTTTTTTAAATCTGTCGCTAAAAACAACAAATATTAATGTTTTTCTGAATTTTTCAAATTGTCACTAAAAACTAATAATTAATGACACTTTTTATAAAAACGCCGTTAAAAAAATAAAAACAAATTTTTTTTTGATAACAATTAAAAGTAAATAGAACTTTTTGATGCACCAAAAACTCAAAGATAACTTATTGATAATATAACTTTTCACCCCCAATTTGTGGTTAGACACACATATACTACATGAGATAGTGATCGGAGGCCTTACCAGACGCTGGCGGGAACCTATAGCTCAGTATTATATTAATTGAAATAACACAAGTTGTTGCTGAAATCTCCTGATTCATTAAAAAGTTTTTGGTCATCCACTTCCCACAACAGCTGTCCATTATCCTGAAAGTGATGTATTTGTCATAGTTAGGAAAATAGATACTTGATTTGGGATGTTTTTTCTTCTTCTATTTTCATTCATTAATATTCTTCTGTAGTTTCACAAATTTTACTAAGGTGGATACTTCAATATGACTTGTATAATGAAGAACACAAAAATTGAATACAGAAACACATAATGTACATGGATGTTATGGTTTAAAATAAGATAAATTACAAATACACCCTTTAAGATTTGATTAAAATACGAATCGCTCCCTGTAGTTTTGAAAATCACATTCCACTCTCTGAGATTTCTAATTTCATAACAAATCGTCCTTTTATTAATAAATCATCAAGTTAATTAACAGTTTTTAATGATATTAAAAAAAATGTTTCAATTAATAATTTAAGTAATTTTATTATTATATAGAAATGCAATTATGAATTTCATTTTTTTAGTTAATTCCGTTAAGTAAAAAATTCTAATAAAGGAGTATTTGTAATTTTTCAAACTATAAGGGACAATCTGTATTTTAAGCAAATCTCAAGAGGTTTATTTATAATTTACCTTTTTAAATAATAGTATAGAGAGATGTATCGTTACTAGTCATGAAGTAATAATATTTAAAAAATCGAGTGCAATATATTGGAAATAGGTGTTAGGGTTATAAATTTTTTAAATCATTAACTACAAAAAAAAAAAAAAAAAAAAAAAAAAAAAAAACAAACAAACAAACAAATAAAAACAAAACAAAAAAAAAAATTTATAATTGTCAAACCAACCGTATTAACTGTGAGCTGGCGTAACGGTTGTAAATTGTCTATGAACCGAACCAATTGATATACATGTGATTTTTATTCTAACCGATATATCAAGTGTATCAGTACCAATATGAGAAGGCCAAAACTTAAAAGGCCCCATTTGTTTTGGGGTGTAAAAGTAGGAATGGGATTAGGATAGATGTGGGGTCTATTTAATGGCCCGTTTGTTTGTAGATTTGAACAACGGATTGATAAGCCGAACGGCTTAGGATAGGCCTTGCTAATAAGTTTCATAGTCTGCTCCAACACTGCTATTGAAAATTAGTCTGTTGGTATTAGGAGAGTGATTTACTTATTTACCCTCTTCTCTTCTCTCCTCTCTGTCTCTCTCTGTGTTCTCTTATCATATATATATATATATATATGTATATTTCATTCAATTTTCTCACCAACCAAACAAAAGTGTAGACAAATTGCAAATTAGATCATTAAAATTGAAGAGTGATACTCCGATCTTCGTCTACATCAGACCAAAGAGATACAAATCAAAAAACAACATGGATGCAATGGTTTCAAACCTGGACCGGACCGGCCGGTCAAACTGGTTGGACCGGGAACCGGGCCTTGTTCCGGTCCGGTCAACCCCCTAAACCCGGAGTGGCGCCAAAACCAGGAAAAACCGGTGACCCAGTGGTCGAACTGATAAAACCGGTGACCCGGACCGGTTCGGGAGGGAAAAACCGATCTCTTTTCTTCTTCTTTTTTTCAGTTTTACTTTTTTTTTTTATTTTCTTTCTTTCTTATATATATATATATATATATATTTTTTTTTTTTAAATTTTGACTAAAAACAGTTACTAAACATGTTTTATTTCTTGTTTTAGAAACAATACAAGAAAAGTCTATTCCTATTTATAGGAAAAGATTTTTAAAAGAGAACCTAAAAATTCTATGTGGGATTCAATCTAATTGTTTAAATCATATTTGATTGGAGAGAGAGTTGTAAATTTTATTTCCCTCCAAAATTAAATCTAGCATTCAATTAATGTGTTTAGAGAGAATATCAAAAAAAAATTAATTTCTTTAAAGCAAGTGACTTTTTCTTATCAATTTTGATTTTATTAAATATTATTAATAAATACTATGCAACAATTTTTATTTTTATTTGATTATTTATATATATTTTTATTTATTTATAATTTATAATTATATTTTTTAAGTATATAATATTAATTATGACGTCACAGTTCGACCGCTTTGACCCGACAGTTGAATCGATGACCCGTCCACCCGGTCCCTTTTCCGATTCGCTCACCGGTCCGCTTTTGAAAGCATTGCATGGATGAACTCACAGAGGAGTGATGCTCCAATCGCCATTGACTCCGATCACACAGAAGAGTGATGCTCCAATCAGACAGAGTGATGCTCCGATTGCCATTGACCCCGACCAAACAAAAAAGTGATGCTCTGATCGCCATTGACTCTCTCTCTCTCTCCCTCTCTCGCTCTCTCTATGTCGTCCTTACGTGGGTGAACTCGCAGAGTGAAAGGCAACCCGTTTTGATAATGTTTTGAACACTAGTCAAAACCATGGGCTGGTTTTTTGAGAAACCATTAATTGGTTTCTTTAATAATAATAATATTAAAAATAGAAATGGATTAATTATATGATTTCAATTATAATAATAAAAATGGTTTCTTTAATAATAATAATAATAATAATAATAAATAGATTTATAGTTGAATTTTTTATTATTTTTAATTATATGATTTTAATTAGAATTTTTGAATAGTTTAATTGGGTAATGCATTTATTAGTTGGTATAAGCTTAAATTTAATACTAATACAATAAGGGTATTTGTGTAATTTTACATGATTAATTATATTCCTATCTCTCAAAACAAACATGAACTATTACTAGTCCACTAGTTATCAAACAAACACATTTTTCTTAATCCCCTCACTAATAGTCCTATCACTATTAATCCTCTCACTATCAATCCCTTCTATTCTACTTCTAAAAACAAGGAAAATGTCTCGTAGCTCAAATTTTGTAGCTCAAAAAGTGGCTCAAATGGCCAAAACGACGTCGTTTTGGCCATTTTTATGTTGTTCTGTACTCAAAATGACGTCGTTTTGGCCATTTGAGCCACTTTTGAACCATAAAATTTGAGCTACGTAGCATTGTCGTAAAAACAAATAGGGCCAAAATGTATAGGCCAATTTTTAAACCAATTATTTTTTTAAGAGTGGGCTCACTAACAAATCTGGTAAAATCTTATCCATTCATGCGAATTCTATGTCCGTTTATGTATTTGGTTTCTGTGTTCGTAATTAAACATTTCATAACGAAATTGAAAAACACACCTGAGGAAAAATATTTGGAATCTGCTCTTGTTGATGATCAAATAGTAGTGAAGAAGATGAACTGTCCAGAAGAGGATAACTATTTGGTGTGGTGAACTGAGCAGAGTTGCATTGTTGCACATTTGGCAATGGTGATTCCTCTTCATAATTCATCAATGTCTGAATATTCATCTCATATACAAAGATCTAACATCAGCTTCAATTCAGATTAAATAAAAAAATATATATATTTATATAATATGAAGTTTTGAGATATACCTCATGTGGAACCATGAATGCATCCAACTCCATTCCAAAGTCATAGAACATGGGATTCACTGAAGCAAGCTTCATAGAAAGAACCTGAAAAAATGTTGGAGAAAAATAGATTTAGATTGTTCAGAAAATTGTTTTTTAACATAGAAATAGTTAGGTCATTTTGAACATACATGGTCAAATAAAAAATAAAACAACAAAATTTTTACCTCCACTTGATATTGCAGGGATCGGACATAGCTGATTATTTCATCCAACACAAGGGCTTTCCCTGTTACCTATTTTTCAGTAAAGTCACATGAAACACTGTTAGAATATAATACCTTTTATTTTATGAACAGTTGAACTACGCTTTAGAAATAAAAATTTATAATAATGCTAGGTAGCTTAAAATTTTGTGGCTCAAATGGCTCAAATCACTCAAAAAGACGTCGTTTTGACAGATTTGAGCCATTTGAGCCACAAAATTTTGAGCTACCAAACATTTTGGAAAAATTTAAAGACAAATTGATTTTTAAGAAAAAGAATCTACGCTTCTAAAAGTGGTGTCCTCATATTTTTAGCGACGACATTAAATATTTAATAAAGAATTACTGTTATTTTGAGATAAAAAAAATTTGTCCTAAAAGCGTATATATTTGCAATATTTTAAAAAATTTGTTAGTAAAAAAAATTTTTGAACTTTTTTATACGATCTTTTTGTGACAATTGAAATTAGTCTTCTAATAGTTTTAGGACAAAATTTTCACTTTTAAGATCAAAAGAATTTAATAATTTATAAAACCATTATATGTTGTATTGAATCCTAATGAATTTTTGAATTCCAAACAATTAATTAATTTTTACAAAAGAAAAACTTGAAACAAGGTGGCCATTTGGGAAGAGAATAAGAAACTGTGTTTTGCAGCATTCCAAAAAAGCCACTAGCAACATGAAAACGCAAGTAGGCTGTTTTGGAAAGTGACAAAAACGCAGGTGGTGAAATTATATAACTACCTTCCATGAAATTACATAATTGTTCAAACAACCACATTGGTCAAAAAGTAAATTTTCTAAGTTTGGTAGGAATATTTTGATCATTTTAATGTGATGTGACACTACAAACAAATATTATACAAAAAAGTAAAAATAAACTTTTTACCGTCTTCTCAAAACACTTTACCTTGTCACATCCAGGAACAAGAGCTTGCAACAGTTTCATCCTCTCACCTATTTTCTCTCTCCTCACCTGAAATCCAAATACAATAAAATAAAGGGTAAATTATTCTTAATAATTGAACTTAATTTTTATCAAATTTTATTAAAAATAAATTCTAATAAAATCGTTATTAAAAACAATTTTTTATAACGATTTTTTGTATATATCGCTAAAAATTAACAATTAGTTTTTTTTTGGCACAGTTTTTATAAATTATCGTTAAAACTTACAATTAGTGACTTTTTCTATGATGAATTTTTTAAAGTATCGCTGAAGATTGAAAATTAGTAACGTTTTTGTGACAATTTGTTTAAACTATCCCTAAAATTTATAATGAGTGACATTTTATTGACTACTTTTAAACTGTCCCTAAAAATTAACAATTAGTGAGATTTTTTAGTAGTGTTATATGAAAAATATCATTAATTATCATAAGGCTTATTGAATAATAAATCCACTTATTAAGATTTACACGTAAATTTTCTTTCTTTTCTTTTTTTTTTAGTTTTCTTGTGTCATAATATTGTTTGCTTGCTTTTTTTTAAAATAAAAATAAATAAATAAATAAAACACTATCTCTTCGATCCATATTGAATATTGCTTGCATTTAAAAAAATTTATATATATTTTTAAGATTATTTTAACTCAGGGATGTTATGATGTGTTTTTTATATTAAAAAAAGATGATGTAATGTTATTCAACTAAATAAAAATATATGCAAACTAAGATTTGAGACTCAATATGATATTTTTTGATTTTCAGTTGAAATAATATAATACTTCTTTAATTATTTTGGAGTCAATGGACTAAACCAAATTAAAAAAAAAAGAAGGTTAAACTAACACTCCTTAACGTTTGATGAAAATACATGAACACTCCCTAACATTTTCAATACATGAAGTTATATCACAAACACTTGACATTTACTTCAATAAAAAACACAGCTCTCATTCAGTAAAAATACATGAACATTACTTAATATTTGGCAAAAAGATTATATACACCTCCTTTCACTTAAATAAAAATGTGATAACATTAATTAAATTACTTATATGTATATATGCGTCTATATGTGATAATGTTCATTAAATTATTTATGTGAATATCTATATACAGTATGTGAAATTATTAACTTAATTTAATATAGTATATGTGATAATTTTAATTAAATAATTAATTTATATATATATAGACATATAAAATTAAGTTATATTAATTTTTTTATTATTATTTAATAGATTAATTGTAAAATAATAAAAAAAAATTACATTATTTTAAACAGCATCACTACTGAAAAATAGCGCTGTGAACAAAGCTAAAAATTAAAAAAAAATTAAAAAAAAAATAAAAAGAGGCTGAAATGACACTGTGAAAACAGAGATGAAAGAAAAGGAAAAAAATAAAATAAATAAACAAAACGGATCGGTTTAAAAGGCACAGCAGGTGCACAGTTGCTGCATCCTCCTGAGGACACGGGATATATTCGGAGAATAATCTATAATTTTCTGAATGAAAAATTATGGCGTGGTTTGAAATACCTAAAAAAAATTTAAAAAGTTAAAATATTATTAAAAAAATTGAAAAGTTACTACTATTTATACAAAAAAAAAAATTTACATACAATTTATTACAACTCACAGTTTGACATTGCACAGACTGTTGCTGAGTTTTGTGGAAAAATTGCATAGCCGACGTACACAAATAATACAGTGTTGTTCGGTCCTTGTGGAATCATAACGGGTCCGATTTTGATAATCTGAACCGTTCAATGTGTAGAACTCGTCGAGTACTATATGTTTGTAAAAAATTACGTTGATCGAATATCGCTAATTACATGATCAAATTAGTTTTGTATAATAAAAAAATAGATGGTGTTATAGTTAACGATTGAAAAAAAAAACTAATCCGATCAGATACCTATCAATATCCGATCAACGTGATTTTTTACAGGCATATAGTGCTATTTTGGAAAATTGGCTTTTAGCAACTTTTTTTGGTTTGTAGCAAAAGCCAAAAGTTGACTTTTTTGCATATTTTTTTTTTTATTTGAGAAGTTGATTTTTAGCTACTAGTAAAATTACAATTCTATCCCTGATGAGTCAAAATGTGCTACATGAGTGAAGTTGTAAATATTTTAAATTAATAGGATTAATTTGATCATTTTATTGTGATTTGACATCATAAACAAATATTAATCAAAAAAGTTAAAAGTAACTTTTTATCAACTTTCCAAATTATTTGTCTAAAAAAGCCAAAAACTTGGTTAAATGTAAAAAAATTATTTTTTATCATCTTTTCAAAATAGGCCATAGTAGTCAACAAGTTCTATATATTTAGGACATCCCAACGTGATTTTTTTTCTCAACTTTTCAATCTAAAAAATTAAAAAAGTACACTTATTTAGGACATTTCAAATAATTTCTAAAGATAAGTCTTAAATATAAATAATAATATTATATATAAAACACACTTTTCACTTAATTTTTTGGAAAATATTTGAGGGCCACAATTTTTATGGCTCAAATGGCTCAAAATTGCCAAAACAACGTCGTTTTGACAATTTTAAAGTTGTTTTGTACTCAAAACGACGTCATTTTAATAATTTCGAACTATTTAAGTCACAAAAATTATAACCCTCAATCATTGCTGTAACTTTTTTATGAGTTGGACTTTTCTTCAATTATGGGCCCATAATTTCTTTACCAGTTTTTAGACTAAGGCCTAGTTTGGAAAGACTAAATAAGTGTAATTTTTGACTTTTTATAAAATATGGGTTGGGTTTGGGTTGGGTTTGAAGTGATATGTTAGAGAGGTGATGTGACTTAAATAAGATGATGTGACTTAAATAGGATAATAACTTTTTGACTTTTTGTTTTTTTTCAATCATGTCAAACTTGACCTAAACGGTGCAGTCCTTGTGAAAGAAGTCTATTTATGACGAAAGCAGTACGATTCACAAAAAAATAATATGGGACTCATGTCGTATAATTTAAAAAGTTAAAAAGTTACATAAAAAAAATCAAAAAATATTATTATTTATATATAAAAAATATTTTATATTATATTTTTATAATACAATTTGAACGGCGGACGTAACAGCCGTCTTGTCTGACCAGGCCATTAAGCACTTGTATTGGGGAAAAAAAATAGTTCCATAGGTGAAGTCATAAAGTTTGTGGTAATATTGGACTCTTGGGGCTCACTAAGGGTTTTTTATTTGCTAATTTGAATCGTTCGTTCCGTAGAACTCGTCGAGTAATATTATAAAATTATATTGATCGGATATTATTAATTATATGATTAAATTAATTTTATATAAACAAAACAGATGGTGTGATAGTTAAGTATCGAAAAAAACTAATCCGATCATATAGCTATCGATATTCGATCAAAGTGATTTTTTACAGGCATATAATACTCGACAAGTTGTACATATTTAACGGTTTGAATTATTAAAACGGAAACCTTTGTGGCCCCACGAATTGACCATCACTGTCCAAAAGTCATTTGCCCCGAAAGAGGCAATTATTTCCGTGGAGACATGCTGGGCAGCCCAGGAGAGCCGTACGATCAATCACCTTTCTTCTACTATATACTTTATTTATATAATTTTTTATTACACATTTTTTTGTAAAAAGACAAAAAATTAACCCAAACATCTATCTTTTCTTCCTCAACTTTTTAGTTCAAAAAAATAAAAAAATATACTTATTTAGACACCCCCAAACAACCTCGTAAGAAAACTTATCAAAAATCTTTTTATATATATATATACTATAACAAGTTAAAATTTTAGAGGTCAAAATTTAAGAATAAAATTATTTTTTGTAAATCAAATATTTTTTTTACGAAAAGTGTCATTATATGTTTAGCAAAGAAAATTAGACATTAATAATGAATTATTATCTTTTTGGAAACAAATTATTTGTCTAAAAAAAATAAAAATCATTTTAAGACCAAATTATTTTGTCCCTAAAAGTCTATTTATTAGTAACATTTTCAAAATTTTATCGCTAAAAGCCTTACTTTTGACTTTTCGGAACGACCTTTTAGCAACTATTCTCATGACGATAGAAATTAATTCCTAAATGCCTTTTACTACAAAATTTTCACTTTTATTTGGTCTCTAAAAATATTTAAGAACACTAAAAGTAGAACTCTAATGAGGGCTCTACTTATGTGGCAGCGGACTCTACTCATGAATGATTTGATGTATTTTTTTTACTTCATGTCACATCATTAATGCCATTGTTAGAGTTTCAAATTTAGAGTTATGAATCATCGCTCTATAAATTCGCTCTATAAATATATATATATATATATATGTGTATATATCATTTTCCAAATTTGTAAATCTAACCCTTAAAAAAAATTTAAAAATGAGAGAGAGAGAGAGAGAGAGCGCGAGCAAAAGGTTTGAATAGTGAAGAGTACCCTCTCAGCAAGGCTGTGGTTATCCGTAGCTTGGCCCCTCCTTGCTCTTACATGAATATAGTCTTTGGGAACTTCTTCAGTAGGAACTTTCTTTTGATCCTTCTTCTTATCAGCTTTTGGCTTCTTTTCTTTCTCATCTGTCATTGTTGTAGTTGTGCCATTGCTTGTCTTTTGCTTCTTCTTGTCTCTCACTTCTCTTGCATCCTAATAGCAAAAACATTTGCAATCACGACAAAAATCAAGCAATTCAATATCAAAACAGACTTAATTTGGAAAATAAAGAGCAACCCACATCTATGTAAACAACATCTAAGTAATTCAAGATCAAAAGTCATTTACCATAGACCAATTGGAATTAATTCAGTTAGTCAGAATCTTTTACACTTCACTAATAAATTAAAGATTAAAGTCCTGTTATAGTAACGACTCAAACTTTTTTTCTTTTTTCTTTTTTTTGAAATTAAAATTGCGTTTTTGAACATTTGAAAAGAAAAAAAAAAACCTAGAAAATTATGAGTATTTTTATTGAAAATGAAGTACTTAAGATGTCACATTATTTTATATAAAAATTATGTACATAAATTATGTTTGTATATCATTACTTAAATTGTTAAGTGTTCTTTTTTTTTAGATGGAATTAAGTGTTCTTTACACACTGCGTCACAATATATCATTTATCAATTAACAACTCTTACATTGTCAATTAAAACACTAACTCAAAAGTGATGGATTAGTTAAGGTATAATAAATTTATTTTATTTTTATTTTTTTTATTGAGATTTTTTTTTTCATGGGTCTTAACTGATAGATTAAGTGACTTAAATATTGAACCATCAAACAAGACATATATATTTAAAGAAAGGGAAAAAAAAAAGAAAAAGAAAATCATTTACCATAGATTGAAGAGAGGTCATGAAAGATTCATCTTTGTTCTTCCTTTTCTTGGCTGTGGCAATCAATTTTTGAGTGACTTGCTCACCACTTTCAGACTTATCAACCACTGATGAAGAGTCTGTACTGTGTTTATTGGTCACAGAAGCCTCATTGTTATGACTAAATGCAACTTTACTTTCATGAACACTAACATCAACAGGGACCTGCTGAAGAGATTCAAGTGGGTAAAATTGAGAAAAACAGCTGGTGGTGGTGGTGGTGTTTGGTTCCTGGGAAAATCCAGAGGTGTTTTGCAGGAAAATTGGGTCAAGGAGAGAAAGGTGCTGTTGGTAATTTGCAAAAGTTGCCATGTTGAGAAAGAAACCTTTGGAATTGAAAATGGAAGGCCACAACACAAGAGAGGGAGAGAGAGACAGAGAGAGGGAGAAGCAGATGGTGGACTCCTTGGATGCAGAGAGGTAAGCAGTAGTCTAAGAAAAAACTGGGTCTGAGTCTGAGACAATCTCAGAGGTCAGGTTTATATAAACTTCAGGAGAGAGAGCGAAAAAAAAAAAAAATTTGAAAATTACTATTTATGCAGAAAATGTAATATCGACAATATATATATATATATTAAATTGAAATTGAGTACAATTCATCCAATATAATGATATTTGTATAATTATATCTCATTTAAATATATTATTATTTTTTTAAACTGTAAAACCAAATATAACTAAATCCTTTTGTAAGCAATTTTGTATATTTTTTTCTGTTTAAATTTAAACAAAAATATAATCGCATCATTCTGCATATAAATTTTATGAATTTTTTTTTTTTTATATTTATACAATTTTTTTCGGATTGAAGGGTTACTATGTATCACTTTATTGTATGTTTGTTTGAATAAATATTAAAATGACTAAATTTTTAGAATTTAGATGCTCTCTATTATATAGTTGAAATAAAATATTTTTATATTTAATGCACAGGTTCGTACATTATTAAAATTTAAAATTAACAGTATAATTTTTACATTAATTTAAAATTTGAAAGTTTCATTAGTTACTTTTGAATTTGAAATGAAAGTATAATAATATGGTTCTTTGACATTTTCGTTCCATTCATGTCATGGACAAAATCCATGTCCAAATATAACTTGATAAAAATATTTTTAAAAAAATTAAAAAAAAACAGTTGTATTATCTACCTATATATTTATCTATTGTCTGTTTATTTATCTTCTATTGGGTTCGAGGAGTTATGTATAGGTTCTAATGGGTAAACTTATTATTCAATAGATCTTATGAAAATTAATGTCATTTTTATGAAACACTATTAAAAAACGTCAATAAGTATTAATTTTCAGTGATAGTTTGAAAATTGTCACAAAAATGTCACTATAGTTTGAAAATTGTCACAAAAATGTCACTAATTATAAGTTTTAGTAACAGTTTAAAAATTGTCACGAAAAAATATCATTGATTTTCAATTTTTAGCGATGGTTTGAAAAATTCATCACAGAAAACGTCATTAATTATAAATTTTAACAACAATTTATAAAAATCGTAACAAAAAAAGTCACTAATTGTCAATTTTTAAAAACATATAAAAAATCGTTACAAAAAATTATTTTTATCGGCGATTTTATTATGACTTATTTTCAATAGAATTTGATAAGAATTTAGTCCAACTATTAAGATATATTAATAGTTTATTTGAGTTGGTATATTCAAATCTTCATTTTATTTTTTTAATTTTTTTTGAATGATTCTATTTACACCACTACTTTACCTCTTTACACCCTCCATATGAGATTTTTTTTTTCTCTAATTTTATCCATGTGTGAAATTACCTTTAAGGACAATACACTAAAATTAAATATATTTTATTATCTCCTTACCTCCCGTTAGTCTTTAATCTCTATCATCTTCTTCATTTCTCAATTTTTCTCCTCTTACCCATCTCTTTTCAAAAAGTGAGAATCATAATATTTTGATCATAGAAGAAAGAAATGGATAAAGAAACGGTGGTAAACAACCATCAAAAAAAGCGAAATGGTAAGTTTTTTTTATTTGTTTGATAGGTTTTTATTTTGTTTTTTTGACTGATCTTCGACTTTTGTTCGGTGTTTTGAAATCATACAAAATAAAATAGTCCGACATCACATTGTTGAATAAAAAATATATGTCTGGTAACCAACTGCCAAATAAAAGATACATTTTCGATATCCCAAGATCGAATTTTTTTAAATTTATTCGGCTAGTTATCCCTACATATTTTCAGTTTCATTTTTTCATATTGTTTTATTTTTTTGCTTGGAAGAATTATGCTTCTACTCATTGCAACAATACAAGTACCGTATTATTAGTAGACTCCAATCATAAATTCATTACAGACGAGGTTTGTTTAGTTTTTTTATGAATACGATTTTTTTTATGAACGGTAACATATTGTTAACAAAAAAAGTTTTTATTAACATGACACTAGATTAATTTAAATTCATTAGCGTATTGTATTACCAAACAGGCTCGATAAAAATTTAAAAATTATTGTTTGGAAGAAAATGGCTTTATAAATGTATAGTAACAAAACGCTGGAGAAATTTTTTTTTTCAGGCAACATAATACTAGAGAAACGTAAATTGCTTAACACTATGTGACTGAACAGACACTTCGTTATGGGCTTTACTCACTGTCTTCCCTTCATCTTTCTCTTTCCCCTTGCTATGTCTCTCTGTTTTCTTATTTTTCCTCCAAAAACTATTGGTGTAAAGAAATGAAAGGATTTTGAAGAGTCTTACTTTAAAGTTAGTTTTGGCAATATAATAGGCGTAATGAGAATCACATTTTTTTTTTGTAAGTGGTGTAATGAGATGGAGTGTGTAAAGAGATAAGGTAATGGTGTAAGTAGAATCACTCATTCTTTTCATGCCAATTGTATTTTTTTTTTTTTTTTGGGTAAATTACACTAAGACCGCTTGAGATTTCTATTTAATACAGATCCCCTCCTCACATTTGAAAAATTACATTCCCCTCTCAGAGATTTGTAATCTCATTACAAATTACTCCTGCATTGCTGATGTCATGTCTTAAAATTTCTTAAATGACCATGTTACCCTTTTTCCTATCATTTCTTCTTTCTATCATCATGAATATATTTTACAATTTTTCATCATTAAATTCTACCTAAATATATTCTTATTGAGTGGTATGATATATAAACATAAATTTTATATAGAATTTTCAAATACAATGATATAGTTTAGGAGTTTTCTTAAGTGTGCAAGTGCACACCATGTGCCACTTACACAAAAAGTGTAAGTGTAAGGTGTAAGTATAAGTATAAGGTGTAAGTGTAAGGTGTAAGTGTAAGGTGTAAGGTGTAAGTGGGTTGCATATGGTGTGCAACTTCAAAAAAGGTGTAAGTGTAAAGTTTAATTTTTTACAAAAGGTGTAAGTGTAAGGTGTAAGTTTAAGGTATAAGGTGTAAGGTGTAAGTTGCACACCATAACCAAACCCGTTAGTTTAATGGTGACTTTTCACTTTAAAACAAAATAACCATAAACATGATTTATATTTACAATAATATCACTATCACAATATTTTTATGATATTTTTTGTATAAATTTTTATACATGAATATAATATTTCATTTTTATTTTCACCATCTAGATTTAATCTAGATATATGTAAAAAGTATAAAATTTGTACAAAAAAAATTTAAAAATCCATTAAATACAACAAAATAAGATAATGTATTAAATTTATATATATATATATATTTTTGTGTTTAGTTTATTCAAAAAAATCATAAAATATTATACTTCTTAAATATATCTAGATTTGGTGTATCTTAAAAATAAAAAAATTAAAATTAAAATAATTAAAATATTTTTAAAATTCAGTAAGTATTTTTAAAAAAAACACGAAAATAATAATAATAATAAATAAATAAATAAATAACTCAATTTTTGTGTGAGTTAAACTAAAGAAGATGGTTATTATTTTTCTTGAAATGACATGAACAAAATATCTGTATTATTTTATTATTTTATATGTATAAAGGCTAAGGGGTTAATATGTCATTTTAATCTAACATAGGGTAAATGTAATTTTTTGACTTGGGTAAGTCCATAAAGATTATAGCCCACCATTTAGGCCCAATACATATCTCGAATACTAGAGCCCAGCACTGCTGAAGCCCCATGTAGCAATAAGAACCAATGACATCAAGACACATGGCAAGAGAAGGGCAAGCCACATTAGCAGACAAAAATCTGCAAAGTTATTGCTACGGCACATCGCTATTAATGAAGCCCCCTTACAGCATTTATTGCGATAACCCCTCTCCATCGGGACGGCACGCCCTCACCCTGAACAAGGGAAACTACAACATAGACTTTCGGCCAAGGTGACAGGCTGGAAGGGACAACGAAATGATTACCAGAGGATACAAGCAGACGTTGAAGACAAGAAGAAAGTTAAGCTTTTATATCTCTAATCTATCTTTACAATCCACTTCTTTTTCTAATGCTCGTCGGAGGGTTTACTGGGGACTCCCTGTTTCCCATCGAACTCTTGTGCAGGTTCTCTAGTGGACTTGATCACTCGAATACCGGTTGGAGAAGCGTGGATGAGTCCAACCCGTCCAAGTCTCTTGTAGTATCATCAGTTGGCGCCGTCTGTAGGAACTTCTTACTTCGCGCTCCAATTGTGCTCATCGTCGTCGGAGGCCCTTCTCCAATAACCCCTTTTCTACCACCTGCCAAGGTGTATGGTCATGACTAGATCCACGGCTTCTCAACCCAATGTTCCCGATCATCAAGCCGACCCCCCCAATCCAAATAACCCACCACCGTATTTCACCGAGCTCACCAACAGCATTAGCCGCTTGGCCAAACAAAACCAAGCCCTGATTAATGCTCTTCTCCAAAGAAACCTTCATATGCCTTCTCCACCACCTCTAGATATTCCCCCCAACCAAGAACGAGCCCCAAGCCACACTATCCTGCAGCCTAATCCACCCAACTTGGAAGGCTTACAACCCCCTCTCCCAGGTATAAACCAGCCACCTCGGGGCCCACAGCCATCGATCCCGGCACCGACTCCTGAAGGAGAGGCTAGCAGCGTCCAGCCCCTGCTGCCCTCCGGTGGTGACAACATCCCTCTCTGGGAGGCAGAACTCCGAGCCATGAAACTCCAACTCCAAGGGGTCATGCAGAACATACAGCATAAACCATCTATCACAGCCAACTCCCCATTTGTCCATCAGGGACAAACCTCTAACCCCCAAGTTCAAAATGCCCACCATCGACTCTTTTGAAGGTACGACGGACCCAGTCGACCACTTGGAGACCTACAGAACCCTTACGATCTTCTAGGGATGGCAATTTAAACCCGGCCCGACGGGGACCCGATCCCCCGACCCCGAAATAAGTGGTTTTTCCTCAAAAAATATCCCCGCGGGGACGGGGATGGTATTAAAAAATCACTCCCCGATCAATTTCGGGCCAGGGACGGGGATAGGCTCGTCGG